TTCCCTCTCTTCCGCTCAGAACTCCGAAAGGAAGCTCACGAGAGGAAAGAACCTATGATATTCAGCCCAAGCCATGAGATAATAGTAACTTCAATTTATTTAATTGAACATATGTGGGAATAAGCCATCTGTGCTGAGTTGTAATTGTCTCCCTGTAATTTACATCATGCCTGTGAATGAGAGTTTGCAGAACTTGTATTCGACACATGTAGACAAGCACAATTTTAATTTTCTCGTGCATGTAATGCTAAATTGCTTATGAACAAGCCCATTTTGTGTTCAAAACCAATTTGGAGAGTGGAGATTCAGCTCGTTGTATATGTGTGAATGGAAATGAACAATTATTTCTATGTTCTAGGATTTCGATTAAGAATTTCTCTCTACAATTGGATGGTAAAACATTCTTCTTCTTCTTTTTTTTTTTTTTTCCTAATTGAGATTAAGCTTTACTCAGGTTGGAGGAACTCATATAAGAATTGGGGGAATGGCAAAACGTTCTGGACTGATCCGCCCAAACATGGCAACAATGCTTGATGTAGGTTTCTTCAGTGATTTCCTTTCTTCAGCAGTTCCAGAAATTGGTTTTAATTTCTCCATGTCGTGATTTAATTCTCACAGGTTATAACAACAGATGCTTTTGCCACAAGTGATGTTTGGCGAAAGATGGTACGAGTTGCTGTAAACTGTAGTTTAAACCAAATCACGGCAAGTATCAACCTTTCATCCATTTCTGGCTCATTTTCCATGAACTTTATATGAAATCAAGGGGTTTAAAATCTGTTCATGCATTGCATGTCCCTGGCACATATGAGATACATGGCATGTGGAGATTGTTGCTTTCACTCTTGGTACTTGTGGCAAGTAGGGCCAGTAGATCCACCCCCAAGTTGGCAGACACGAGTTTGTGTATATTTAATTGCCAGGGAATAAATTATTTATTCGCTAAATTCAAGGATTTGCAAAAACAGATTCTGCATTTAACTAAACTGGTGCTCATCTTGTAGACTTCATCAGTCAGAGAACAAGCAAATCATCTTACCTTAGTGTTTCTGGAGATTTTCGTTGTAATTTTGTGAAACTTTGTATTTTTATATTGCTTTTGCATACACGTCTCCAACTGCAAATATTGCAGACTCAAACAAGAAGCAAGCTACATCCTTTGCCTGCTTCTTTTATTTAAAATTTCAAATTTTCTTCCGGTATTATTCAACACGTTTCATCTAATTTGTCATTGTGATTTATGGATTTTTATTAGTGCACCAGTTACATCACTATTTGTTTTACGGTATCTCAGCAACTGAACTAATTACATTGTGTATCTAAAGCTTCGTATGGCGGGATATTTGTTTGTTATGTGGATGCAGATACAAGTACAAATGATTATGTCCTGGCCTTGGCTAGTGGTCTTTCACGATCAAACAAAATTTCTTCTTTGAATAGTTCTGGGGGAGAACATCTACAAGCGTGTCTTGATGCTTTATGTTTAACTATCTGCACACACTATTCTCCTTTGGTATTGATTATCGCTCCATAATGAAGTCCAAAGTACTAGTGACAATTATATCTTATAAGCTTTTGTCTTTCTTTTATCCTTGGTGTGTCTACGAAAGATACCGGTGTTGCTTTGTAGAATTGTCTTTTAAAAAATGTACATCATGGAGTTATATGCTCTATTGTTATCTTATGATGATTTTAATGTTCCTTCTACTAACCTTCATGCTATCATCAGCGTTAAGGTAAATACTTACATATGAAATACTCTGGGCTTGTTGACTTAATATGTGAATACCAGTCATCGAGTAGTCCAATCCACATAGCCCATTGTTGACATCGGTTGGACTATGATGAAATGTTGTGCCCAATTGGCTTTATGGCTGCCACTAATCAATCCTAACAGCACGTGATGTCGATTTTCTATTTATTTGTGAATTCATTTAGCAGTTGAGCACTTTTTACATAACAAATTTTGGTGGTTCTTTTGGATAGTTTTGCATGTGTTAACTGGTACAATCTGACGATACACGGAGATCTCATGAATTTTACATTATGTTCTTTTTATTCGGGTCATGCTTGGTCTTGCAAAATCAATAGCTTGGGATGGTGATGGGGCAACATGCTTGATAGAGGTATTCATATTTTTAGACACAATTTGCCCAACTTTTGTCCATTTACTTTGCAATACAAAAGTACAAATATACAACAAAGCCTAACTCCCAGTATATTTGGATTGGCTAAACGAATCTTTCTTCGCCATTCCACTCGTTTCATTGTTAGATCTTCAGTAAACTACAACTGGCCATGTTATTTTTGATCAACCTCCCTCTGCTAATTTTCTCTGCCAAAATCACATCACTCTTCTGAATAAGACCCTCTTTAGGTCAACACAAAACCTGAGACAACAACTTAAGTCATACTTTCCTGGGATTGTGTTCTCTGGGCGCTACCTCTTCTTGTTGACTTAGCCATTTTACTATGACAATGCATCCATCCTAAGAAGTAAGAACAAATATTGAAATATACCACCCAAAATGTCTTCTAGTCACTGATAGGAACTGCTATTTGATATGTCCTGCTAATGTCCAAAGTAGATTGATCCTGATTTTAAATGCAATCTGCAGGTCAGAGTATCTGGAGCCAGCAGCGAAGCTGAAGCAGCAAAGGTTGCACGATGAGTGGTGTCTTCTTCATCAATGAAGGCATGATTTGTACATATTCGAAGGATCTGATATGGCTCGAGCTGTTTCTGATTTTGTCTCACTGTACTTTTTCCGTGCTTCGTCATTAGGCTGCGGTATATGGTCGGGATCCAAATTCGGGTCATATTGCTTGTGCTGCTGGTTATGCAGGAATTCCTTTAATCCAAACAAACTCAGAATATCACTGGGAGTTATTTTGCTAATGGATGGTGGGCAGCCACTGCCATTTGATAGGTATGAGAAAATACTCCATCTTTTCCATTAAATTTCCACTATGATCAAATCATATATCAATATAGTTTCCAAATTCTCCATCTGCAGGGGTGGCTGTGGGTTTTCAAATGCCCTTTTTATGATATTTTGGCCAAACCTTTAGTGTTTCGCACTCCGGTTTGATTTATTTGCGAGTGAAAATTTTGTGGGCTAGTTTTCTACTAATCTGTCTTTGTGGATTTTAGCCTTTTCCAAAATGACTCCACTCAAGGCATCCCCATTTTTCTTTTTTCTTTTTGCTCCTTTCTCTTTTTATGGTCACTCTCATTTAACATTTTTTCGCTACTTTCTTTAATTTAACAATGTTTGAGAATTTTGAAATGTTGCAGCATTGCAGCTAGTTATTATCTTAAGAAGGCTGGTGAGATACACGGGACGGTTGTAATTCAAACATCTATTGGTAAGATTCATAGATGTCCAAAAGAATGACGCGCTGTGTCATGATATCCATACTCATCCCTGTCCCCACACCCCAAAATAGAAACGGTACCAAGCCAATTTGTTAATTGATGAAATGAAAGTTCTCAATTCTGCTATGCCCTACTGAAGAGAAAAATTTCCTTGGTTACATACGAGAAAATTTGGTGTGAATATGGCAAATCATATCCGCATATCTTGTAGTATTATCTTTACTTTTCTCCTTCGTAATTATAGTTGCTTTCCATCGAGCCTATGAGAAGTTGCTATGCAAATTGGTATATCATTTTTGGGAATGTCTCTTCTATCCACAATTCATTGGTTTTTGAATAAAGCTGGTTGGACAGGAATTGGAAATAGACTGCAGAAAACAGGGTAATTTGACAGATTGTGATCGAGTGTTTTTGTCTCTTTTTTTCTAACTTCCAATGATAAATTGCCAAATGTTTTCTGGAAATGAAAATCTGCTATTGAACCTGGATATCTAGCATATTTGTTTTTCCATCTTTTTCTCAGGTGATTGTTCAGGTATACTTTTCTCCTTCGTAATTATAGTTGCTTTCCATCGAGCCTATGAGAAGTTGCTATGCAAATTGGTATATCATTTTTGGGAATTTGTCTCTTCTATCCACAATTCATTGGTTTTTGAATAAAGCTGGTTGGACAGGAATTGGAAATAGACTGCAGAAAACAGGGTAATTTGACAGATTGTGATTGAGTGTTTTTGTCTCTTTTTTTCTAACTTCCAATGATAAATTGCCAAATGTTTTCTGGAAATGAAAATCTGCTATTGAACCTGGATATCTAGCATATTTGTTTTTCCATCTTTTTCTCAGGTGATTGTTCAGGTTGAGGACTAGCATGGGGCTGTGACTTGAGTTATGATTATGTGAAATAAATGCAGGGTACACTACATAGAAAATATCTTCTCTGTCATCATAAAACTACAACATGGTTATATCCTAGATCTTGAAATACCAGTTTGGCTACATCTTTTCTTCGAGCAAATGCTTAGATGTACCGTTATTGATTGCAAGCATTCAGAACATGCTGCTATAGGCATCGTTACTTTCGACCAGTCTTCTACTCCTGTTTTAAGCTATAGTTATAGCCCCCGAGAATGATCAACATACTGCAATTTCTTTTGCAACGACCCGTTTGAGAAACCCGATTCAAGATTGTTAAAATTATGGACTCATTGTACTAATCAAAGCTGAATCCATTATACTTGATATGATAAAATGGGTGGAGGAACAAAAGATAATTGATTCTCGATTCAGCATCAAAACCTGTGCTATCACGAGCGCGTAACTAAAAGTGAATTCAAAGAATTTTTCACACCAGCCGTTTTTAAGATCCCAAGCAACAAAACATGGGCAATAAATGAAATTGCGTGCAATTGCATCATCAGCGCAAAGTGAGAAGGAATGCTGATAATCCCAGGGCACGTGAATACTACAAAAAAATTATCAAACAAAGAATAACACTATCCATAATCAGCGAATGTCGTTTATTATACCATTTGTCAACTTCGTTATTTGAGACATTAGTTTGTCATTCATTAATGTCTAAAATTACAAGTTGTCAAGTAAGATGGTTATCGATAGTCGCTGATTATGAATGACATTATTTTCAAATAAATGGTAGCACATTACGTCACAACAAACTCGAGGAAAATGACACAATACTACAACACGAAAGCACATCACCACTAAAAAGAACTCATCAAACTTTCATGGAAGTTCCACCATCAGGTCAACATTTTCAGAGAAAATTCAGTAGTCCTATCAACAACAAAACCTCACAAATTTATTCATTTTACGTCACCAGTAAAATGAAAATGATCAGACGAGGGCTCATGTAGCCTCTGCGACTGCAAAGTGCAACTTGGTGATCGGTTTTTTAAGAAAACTACTTCCGCAGAATGCAACTGGGCTGCCAACGTCGAAATTCTCAGTACCAGTAAGTGGCTCATCAAAACCATGCACTATGTAACAATCAGTAAATGACTTGAAAGAACTGCTAGCACTTCCAACATTCTTCCTGGCTTGCTTCTTGTCTTTTCCCTTGCTGCCTCGTGAAGATTTACTACTGCCCTTCTGTTTGGTCTTCCCGTACTTCCTGCTATCACTCCGATGGCGATGATGCTTGTTTGATGCCACGTGTGACACTGCTGAAGGAACTGGATCATACACCTCAGGGGCCCACGTTACTAATAGCTTCTTGGGTGGTATTCCCTGCTTTTCACGGCTACCTTTCAAGGCAGATACAAGCTTCATAGGAGTCTGAAAATAGAAGATCGAGGGGAAAAAACCACATCTGTTAACACTTAGCTCCTGTATGATATACCTGAACCCTTAAATGTCGCCATACAAGGATCATCTGTACATCAAAATAGAACTTGCCGGCACTGTTCCAAATACTTGAAGGAAAAGAAGGGGAGGACGAAAATATGAAGAGTGAAAAACAGAACTTGCATTACTGATGTAAACAAACATTCCTATTCTCAAAATTCAAAAAAATGTAGGCAAAAGCTTTACTCCCCTGGATCATCCAGAAAGAGCGTTTCTGATGTCAAAAATAGGCAAAAGAATCTAATTATATTTGGCAACATCATAAAAGCATAATTAACTAAAAATATGAAGGCCGGATATAATCTAAGTAACGATTATTACATCATAAATGAACCTTACAGCAGGTAGAATTCTTTACTAATACCAACATCGCCCTCAACGTTAAACAAAACAGAAGTACCCATGCGTACACACAATAGTTCACATCACCAGACACGTACCTCATGGTCATGGAAACCAAACAATAAATAAACCCAATAAACCCATTACTACTTTCCAGGAATTCATGAAATTAATTATATATAATATCAGTGCAAATTCTTTCAAGTTAATATATTTATTGTAACGAGCCTACTACAACATACCTTGGATAAAATCTGCACTCACATTCCCTCGAAGGGATCCATATGTCAAGAGAAAATATGTACATTAACCAAAGAATATGCTTAAGAGCTAGTTACGAAAAAGTAAAACTTACAGGCAAGGATATGCAACGTGAATATGACTGATTAGCAGATTTGGCATCACCATTCAATGTCGAGACTTTAGTGGTTATATCACAACCCTGCTGCTCTTTCTCATCCAATAATTCGTCAGCAATGAATTTTTTATGCTTGCCAGGGAATGCAGGAGACGGAAATGTGGCACACTTGCTAAAGTGTTTCTCTGAAGCTAGACCGTTTGATTTCTTCCCATGGGATTGGTTATGTTCAACTTCCTTCTCCACATTGCCTATATCCTCCCCCTCAGGAGATGGAGTGAAGCCACGAGTTGCTATCTCAAAGTTCTCAATATTTACAAACTCGTTCAAACAGTTTTTGAGATCATTCATAGAAAGATATCCTGTATCATGACAAGCTGAGTCAGGTGGGTCTGTTGATGTCTCACTAGGGCTGATTATATCTCGAGCAGATGACATTATGTGGGATGCAGCTGTCCCTCTACTACAAGAGTGAAAAGTTGCAGAAAAGATCTGCAAAAGCACAAATCAGAACAACTAAACTACAATAATTACAAAATGAAATCTTCTAGAATATTATAACCTCAAAGCCATCAAACACTACCGAAAATAATATGTTAAAGTTGATTACCAGTTGGGTGACAAGAAATAATTGATACAGGATAAGCAACTCATATTGCAATCCATGACACCGTGTCACTTATACTCATTCATGAACTATATGGAGAAGTCTCCTTTGTGGGATAATAAGTATTGTTATTCAGCGATACTCGGTTATTTAACATTAAACTAAATGCCGTAATAGCTCCATTTTCCCAAAAAAAAAAAAAAAAAAAAAAAAAAAAAAA